AGAATTCATCATGAGAACAGTGCCTAGAGAATGGTGCTAAACCATTCATGAGAAACTGTCCCCATGATCCAATCATCTCCCATCAGGCCCCACCTCCAATATTGGGGATTACAATTCATCATGAGATTTGATGGGGACACAGATTCAAACCATATCAGGAGTGTATGCCCATCACTTTTGAGAGTACAAGAGGAAAGTAGAACATATCACTTCTCTCATCTCATTGAACAGAACTTAGCTATATGGCTACAACCAGTTTCTAGAGGCAGCCCTGGGCTATACCAATGCTGGGAAATACAGTCCTAATCCATGACCAATTAAAACTATCACTATGGAAGAATGGGAGAGCAGATTGTGGTGTGGAGTCTAATGGTCTTTTCCACAGCCAGTCAACCTAATAAAACTCCCCACCTCCTTAAAATCCCCTTCCATTCTTGTGAAATTGCTGTCAAGTTTCAAAGGCTTAATTCAGTCCTTATCCCTTTAAGCTTCTCTACAACATTTGATACAATTGACCCGCTTGGAGTTCTTTCTTCCTGATATGGTTTGGCTCTGTGTCCCCAGCCAAATCTCATCTTGTAGCCCCCATAAATCCCACCTGTTGTGGGAGGGACCCAGTGAAAGATAATTGAATTATGGGGTCCAGTCTTTTCCGTGCTGTTCTCATGTTAGTGAATAAGTCTTACAAGATCTGATGGTTTTAAAAATGGGAATTTCCCCGCACAAGCTCTCTCTCTTTGCCTGCTGCCATCCACGTAAGATGTGACTTGCTCTTCCCTGCCTTCTGCCATGATTAAGAGGCTTCCCCAGCCATGTGGAACTGTAAGTCCATTAAACCTCTTTCTTTTGTAAATTGCCCAGTCTTGGGTATGTCTTTATCAGCAGTGTGAAAACAGACTAATACACTATCCCTTCTCCTAACTCTTCTAATTGTTTCCCTCTTAGTAATATTACTTTGTGGCCCTGCTTCTGTTCATCTTCCTTAAAGTAGGTGGTTCCAAAAGGCCTGTCATCTGAATCTCTTTTCTCTTTCTTATATGCACTCTCTTTTGCAAAATCATCAACTTCCTTGATTTCAACCATCAGTTTGAAGTTGATGCTTCCCATATATCTAATCTTTTGCCCCACTTTCTCTCCGGTGTCTCTACTCCACGTTTCCCACTGTGTGCTGGACTTTTGCATATCTTGTCAACGTCTCAGACATCCAAAACTAGATTTACCATCATCTGTCTGAAATCTGCTTCCTTTTACCCTGGCTCTTGTTTATAGCATTACTATGACCCAAATGTTTTAGGGTTTGGGCGGTTGTAACTGTCTTCTCCCTACCTTATCCAGTCAATGAGTACATTGTGTCCATTGTAACTCTAGAGTTTTATACACCCACACCTTTCTGACCTGTTCCTAAAGCCATTGTTCTTGTTCTTGTTCTGACTTCATTACCTCTTAGTCTAGATCATTCTACTAACTTCTCTCCTCATTCTAATTCTTCCTACACTAATATCAGGCATGCCAAAGCACAACTTTGAAAAAGATTAGGGAAAGGACAGTCATTGTGGCTAACCATGATTCCAGTCTCAATGGTAGAATTTTTTAGTTTCTACTATTTTCCAGATACTTACATGCAATATCTCATATAATACTCAGTAACATCTAACTAAACTAACAGCTAAGTAAATTAAGTGCATATATACACCAGGCACTGTGCCAACAACTGTACCTTATTTTAATCTCACAACCTAAAAAGGTAAGTACTATTATTGTTCTCTTTTTGTATATTAAGCAACTGAGAGGAAGAAACCAAGGCTTTACAAACCTAAGTCATTTACTCATGGTCTGATATTGGTTAAATGGTAAAACTAGGATTTGAACCAGTTAGTTCCAAAATATCCTCTCATAAACATTAACTTAACCTCATAGCAATTATAGAAGGTCATTATTAATATTATTATTTCATAAACCAAGGAAGTTAAGTAATCTTAAACTGACCAGACTTCACAGCCCAAGTTCTTTCTTTTCTTTATACAACTTCCCATTTATGGTCCTCAGTTATAAATGACCTTCCAGTCTCTGTGAGATTTCTTGCATTCGTGGATTATTGAGATTAAGAGAAACTGAGAAGAGACAGGCAACAAGTCAGCACAACACAGTCCACAGTGTGGGAAAGTCTTCCAGAGGGTGTATTCTCCTCATGATAGTGGAATCAACTTTGTAAAATCACAGACACTAGTTTCTTGAAATTCCACTTAAGGGTGTCTTTCTCCACGTCATCATCACTGTCCCTTGGCCATTTAGGGGATATGGTTGGACTTTGTCCTAAGCTTGCAAATGCTGGATTATTAAGTTCTTTTGTCCATTTAGCTTACTTTGGTCCGGAAAAAAAAGGGTAAATCTTTTATACTGAATATGAAAAAATACAATGAGACAGAAAATATGGGCAAGTCAATGTTTCCAGATACCTGATTTCAGACAGGGATAGTAGATCTTCTATTCTCCTCTAGCTAGTATTGACCCCATATGTCCAGGCTTCTACTTTTTCATTATGGTTGAAAAACATCCAGAAATAGGACCAACGGAAGCTAGGTCTCTGATAACTTGGCAGTATGCAGGTCAAGATGCTTTGAATTTTATGTGGGTGGCTCAAATTTTTAGTATTCACAAGTATTTATGAACTTGTAAGGCTGGAACTCTGAACGCTATCTAAAGGGAGAGAATGGTCTTCATTGGCTATACGTGCCATTTTAGCAGGTACAACAAACAAACAAACAAAAAACAAAAGAAATCATAGATTTGGAAACATGAAATTGACATAAGCAAAAGAAGTCTGAATAAATTCAATTCCATGGGTTTGTCTATGGACAGGGTTATAGCCCTGAACACAGAAGGATGACACTAAGTAGCACTGGAAACTGGGAGCCAAGGTAAGTTTTTTGGTTATAGAAAGTGTATTTTATTATTAGAGCAAATGGCAAATACATCCAAGGACTTTGATGTTATAGGGGAAGTCTCAAGGGGGAAAAATGCTAATACAAGTATAAAACCAAATTGCTATTTATGAAAGTAAAGTTTAGTGCTGCCTCACTGTCAACTCTTCCCTTATACTCTAACTACAACTTTGATAAAGTACTCAATATTCCCTCTACATGGAATAGTCTATTTGCCCAGTACACAAACACACACAAATACACACATACACGCACACACCATTGCCTTTCTTCTAGCTAATTTCTACATATCTTTGAAGTCTTAGCTTATATGTTATTTCTTCCAGGAAACTTACTGAAACATCCCCAAGACCATATTAGGTGCTCTCTCTCATTCCCTGAACAATAACAATATGGGTCACCCTGTACAGTAATTACTTGTTTATCTGCTTGCTTTGTTCATTAAACTGTAAGTTTCTTTTGGCAGGGAATAGCTTTGCCTTCATTATTGTTTCATTCTTAGGATTTAGTATAATTTCTGCCACAAAGTATATAGGTGCTTGATATAAATCTGTTAAAGGAATGTAAACATTTTGCAATACAGAAAGCAATTTTTTCATCATGATTCCAATGTGTGTCCTTTTCCAAAATATGTTTTCTAGAGTAAAACTAGTTATAATTGTTTCAAAGAGCAGTTAAGTTGGATATGCAGATATTATTCCTTGCCCATTGTGGTAAACTTTAGGGCTGCTTGCAAACATCCTGGTTCCGTCACCTGCCCAGTGAAAAATGCATAGTAATGTGGGAGCTTCACGAACTATTGCATGATTCTCCCTGTCCCTTCCCCCTAATCATGGAAGCACCTGTTCCTGTTCCCTCACAATGGAAGAATGCTTAGAATGGAAATCTCTGTCAGGCTGTGAACCCAAATGAGAAGGGTGTGGAACAGATCCTTCAGCTAACCTCGATGGACAGGTCATGAGATCAAGAAATAAATCTCTAATGTTGTAGCTTAACTAATCTGTCTTGACTGACATACTTGTATGTCAGCTACTTCGGCTGTCTCTTTTTTCTTACTATCAGAACTTGCCGCACTCTCTAGAAGCACAAAATACTAAGTGTTCTTTTTTCCAGCCTCCCTTGCAGGTAAGAGTAGCTGTGTGGCACCGTTCTGAACAAGGAAATAGAAGGAAAATTCAACTTGTGTTCCTACTACTTTCCACCTTCCAAAGGGGTATTATAAAGAGAACTCTTTTCCCATTTTGCTGCTTCATTCAATTGTATGTAGACACAAGGTAGCGATCTTTTAGCCAAGAAGATAAGCCTAAGAATTAAGTCAGTATGTTAAGAAGAGCCACTAAGTGGCTACACGAAACCTGAATTTATCACTTCAAGACTTACTGCTACGTGAGGTTATAAATGTCTTCAGTATTTGGATGGATGTTGATCAGGAATATTTTCTGAGTTACAACTGAATGCATTCTAACTAATTGTGTAAAGAATGTCCAAATTTCCCTCTCCGACACCCTATCACTCTAAAATTTTGGAAGCCAATATAAACCAGCAAGTCAGATTGGATACCCAGGAAGCAAGAGCATCATTTGGAAGAACTAAACACATGAGAAGTTTATCCAGTGATGAAACCTTTTGGCTAAAGATAGAATCCATGCGCTAATAGTAGAAAAAGACAGTAAGCTCACTTATGTTGGAGGAGAAGCATAAGAGGGCACATTAGAAAAGGACATTCATAAGTGAATTCATTCTTGGTCTTTTTGTTCAGAATTAGCTCATGAAACCATTTCATAGTTAGCTACCTGCCTAGGAAATTTTTTTGCCCAACTAGTAAAAAAGAGAAAGAAAATAAAAGAAATGCCAACCATACATGTGTTTTTCCAGCAGTACATCTTCAGAAGTTGGAAAGGAACTGATAAAGAAGTGGGTCCCTCGTGCTTCAGTGGTTATTTATTAGTCATTTGTATCACTTTCCAACCTAATTTACATGTAATCTAACACCTTTTTTTCCACCTCTTTTTTTAAAAAAGTGTTCATTTGTCTACATTACCTTTCATTAAACAATACTTTTATGAGTGTAATTCTTAATTTATTATTAAATAATCCATTGAATGTTGACAATTTTACTCAGTACTCATCAAAAAATCCAGACCTGGAAAAGAGATTATTCAGTGCTTTTCAAAGAAGTCACAGAATCCTTAAAACCAGAGTAGGCAGGGTACAGCAAATAAAATGCAGACACTTTAACAAAATCTCCAAAATTGTTCTCCTACCTACCCAATCTGCCATATTCCACTTTTTCCACCAATTTCAGGAGTTTCCGCCACATGGTTTGGCTCCAATGAGCCAGTACCTGCAGCATCCACAGACACGAATTGGATCTGTGTTTTTACATCAACAGATAAGTTCAGTTACTTCATAATATTCTTTTATGCATAGATACAGAACCGATATTGATAATCTAGGAATTTGGTTTTATTTTTACACATGAACTGCAAACATAGAACTGCATGACCTAGAAGAAATGACAGCTGGTAAGAAAATAGGTTTCTATGGGTTATCTGGGACCAAGAGTGCTGGGTGCAGAAGGGTCAGTAGATGATACAGTGACCACCTTGGTACAGTTGCCAGTGAGCTATCAGGAATCACAAGTAGATTGAGGAAAGCTTCAATAGAAGGCATAGAGGTAGTGGAAAATGATTCATGAACCCTTCTGAGTAATAACAAATACTTTTAAAAACCATATCATGAGTTCTAATATAATTTTCTTGTCTGGGATCAGCTATTTTCAGGATCACTTGTTCTTTTAGGCTCCTGAACTTTTACACTAAAGACTGTGGTGTCATTAGAAAAATGATCACACACTTGGAATCCCTGATTGCCTAATCCTCCAGCAGTTAATGTCCATGGAAACAGCCTCTAAGATGCCTATTCATCAAAAAGTGTTCCAGGTTCATTCTAATTCAATAAATTATGTTGAGATTAAGTTATACATAATGGATGTTAATATTACCATCATTAATATTGTTATTATTTTCAGACCTCAAAGTTTATTTTTGAAATACAGATTGATATTTTCCCTAAAATGCTAAAGCTTTTACATACATACAAAAGTATGACCTGGGTTTGGAAATTTGCTTTGCAGTCTGGGAGCTCCTAGTTAACTTAAAGGATTTTAAATGCAATTAGTACTTTCAAGCAATTGATGTCAGATTGTCATATCTTACTCTTTGGGGCATGAGGCTAGGTATTTTACAATGCCCAAAAACAACTTTCAAAATAGTATTTAGCAAACTGTCTGGAGCCTCTTTACCCCAAAATTAGAGTATCCAACACAGATGATACCCAAGATGTAACTTGAAGATTACTGATTTTTTAAATGCCTCCCTGGAATTTACATATTAAATTGATTACTTTCTCCTTCACAATAGTTACCTTTTGACACTTACATATTCATCCCAAGTACAATTTCACTAATTTTCAAGGCCCAGGCACCACTGTAATTCTGGGCATATAAATCGTAAATATTCTATGATTGAATGGGTCCGTGAGTGAGTGAACAAATGGTAAAAGAACAGATAAATTAATTTAGAACCTTTGCTCTGAGGAGTGCTTTCCCAGCCAGTAATACTTTTAATATGTACACTAATGGCAAAGCTTTCTGGTTTGGGGTGAATTTGATTAATGAAAAGAGTCAAAAAAATCATTTGGAATAAGTCTTGGGGATAAGAGACACAATCCAGTGGGATAAGGACACTTAGGAAAACACAAGGCATGATCAAAATACTGCAAGTCTGGCTTTCTCATAATTGAGTTCTGAAGGCAATTCCAGAAATGATTTGAGCATCCACAACAACTCTGAACTAAGCATGTTAACTCCAGAATGACTGCTTAGAAAGGCTATGTTATTTTGAATGAAGAAAAACTGACATGCTGATTTTCTGTTTCTCTAATTAGGCTCATACATTTATGGTCAAGGTGTATATCATATTTTGTAAATGTGATTATAAGAAAAGACCATTTTTCTTATCTGTAAGATGAACAATAAGACTAGATGATTTCTATAAACTTTCCCAGTACTAACATCCAATAATTATTTATATAAATAAATAGGTTAAACATTGTTCACATGTATTCAGCCATTCTCACTAATATTTCAGAGGTTTTATATTGAAGGGACTCTCCTTTCAACAACCCCAAGGCTTCAAGGGAAATCATGCTTTAGGCTGTAGACCACAAGGTATATGGCTGCTGGAACAAGATATATGGGACAAACCTCTCTCTCTCTCTCTCTCTGTCACACACACACACACACACACACACACACACCTCTGCCCCATTAGCAGTAAACTATCTGTCCCCAAATAAGGATGATTATAGAAGTCAACATAGTAGTGCACTAGTTCACATTCATTTGAAATCACTTATATAATGTGTACAGAGTAACGCTGTTCTTCACATGATCTGCCAATTTTTCACTAAGTAGTTACAACTTCAAAAGCAGGGGAAGTGCCTTCAAATGAAAGTATGACAGCAGGCTTCAGAATGTCCTGCTTCCGATTGTGTCCAAAATATCTTATTCTGTAGATTCCAGGCTGGGCAGTGTCTGGAATATGCCATTCCACTGTTGCATTACTCAGACCCAGGAGTCCCTTGTGCCAATAAAAACTGTTGATAGAAAACAAACAAGCAAGCAAAACTCAATTTTACTCTTAAAAATGTGTAATTAGAAAAAATACTGATTATTCATTTAATGAATATTCAGGGAGTACCTATAATGAGCAAGGCACTATCTAGACATTGAAGATACAGCAATGAACACAACAGACAAAAATGTCTATTTTCTAGAAGAGAAACTTTAAAGAACAGCAATTTGTAGAAATAGCTTTACTTGTTCCACCTTTCTTCCTACCTAAATTATATTCATCCCAGGAAACCTTACCTGATAGCCACAAGATGTCTATCCTGTTGTAGAATTGCAAAGTACTCTTTTAGCCTTTACCTGACACTTATTTTCACATCTAGATTCATTTGTTTTATATATATATATATAATGAATACACGTCAGACTCTCTTCTAGAAGTACTGAGGGTACAGTAAGGAGCAAGATAGATATGGTCCCAAGTTTTATGAAGCTTATGTTCTACTGGGTTGAGGATGGGAATAAATGCAATAAACAAATAAAGCAATAAATATAAAAATCTTAAGAATGACAAATGTAATGTAGAAAACAAGATGGAAGTTTTTTTAGGGAGATGTCATTTAAACTGAGTCTGCAAAAATCTGGAGGGAAAAACATTCTAACAAGAAGGAACAGAAAATACAAAGTGTCCAAAGCAGGAACAAATTTGATGTGGCCACAAAGCAGAAAGCAGGTCGGTTGGTACAGGGAATAGTAAACCACAGAAGAGTGCTTGAGATGAGAGAAACAGATGGAACCAGATCATGTTGGCCCGTGCAGATCACAGCAGAGAGTTCAGACACTCTTCTAGACTCAGTGAGATACAATGGGCTAACTGATTGACATCCTCAGTTACGTTGAAAGTTAATCTCTTGGGCACAGAGAGTGTGCTCGACATTCTATGTTTCTCAGTGATGGGTTCAGTACTCTCAACAAATATTTGATTATTCTGCTGCTAAGGAACAAGGCAGGGATCTAAACATATCCTCAGTATTGACTGCTATTAGCTAAAAACTTTTAGCATTTAAATATAAATCATTATTTTTATTACCTGTATAACCTTTTAAATGGTAAATATGCATTACTTGTTTAAAAATTTACCTATACTCTACAGCTCTAAATACCAAAGAAAAATTATGCCCATATTTGTATATGGTTATCAAGTGGGCCATGATCAAATTCCTATTTTCAATTAACCATCTGAACCATACTAACATACTTACATTTAACAAACTAATATCACTTAGTTGAGGCAATCTGAATTAGACCCAAATAGCCAAAAACTGTACCTACTTCCATGCCACTGTCCTAAAATGCGAAATGTATAGACTTGGGAACAGAAATATTGTCTTATTTCAGACACATTGTCAAATCTTCAAAATATCTATTCAGCTCAGGAATTTGGTAGCTAAAAGCAAAGAGATATGTCTCTCTGAGGAAATTGCATGAGTATATTATCTCCTCACTCAAGTCATTAAGGGTTAAACACCCAAGCCTATAGCGTTTTAGTAACTCAAATTAAGAATCATTGATCACATACAAACATGCAATACATATCAGGTATAGACTCATTTTCCCTACAGAAATATCAAGCTCTACAGAGACATCTCAACACTTTTACTCCACACTCCTTTCAACCAATTTGCAATAAAGCTAGTTAGATTTCAGAAATAATACCTGTGACCATGGGGGAAAAAACAGAACAGATGGAATGGAATGCCATAACCTCATTAGCACCTAATCTTACAGAAGCACATACCACACTGTTTTGTAGAAAAATGAATCAAAATGAAATCTAATAAATCAACTAAATATGGCCAGAAAGCTCCTTGAGAATTTGATATCATTAATACCTTGTATTGAGCCAGTCTTTTCATTTGTCTTCCCAGCATTACAAGCCAACTGTTTTCAAAGCTTGAAACACAAAAATATTCAATAGATGTGCTCACCGAGTCTCCCAGGAGGCATCATTACACACTATCTGCCACGATGTTGAAGTAGCCTCATATTTCTCCACAGTGAGGAAGGTCTGATGGGTCTGAAATGCAATTAGGAATCCGTTTGTAAATATTCCCCTTGTTGACCATATGTTAGCCTACCAGTACCTTGTGTGAAAATGTGTTAGAATTTCATCCACATTCTTAGGCTTTCCTCTTAACATTCTATGCAATGTACTCAGAATGTTAATTTATCCAGTCTATTAAAAAAACACGACTTTTTTAGAAATTTGAAAGAAGCATAATTTTAGAGTTAATAGCAAATTTTGGAAATTAGGGCAGAAAAGAGGCTGGAAATAAAACTTACGTGAGATTTTAAAAAGGTATAAGTCGAGCCTTTTCGTGACATGCTTATTGATCTAAATATCCCAAGACTTTCTCTAGTCACCTCAAGATTTAGAAGGGAAAATGGTAAAGTTTAATCTATTTTCTATCTCTAGGTGAATGAATTATTAGTTAACGTACCTCCCTGCGTGAAAGAATTGAAAAGAATACATAAATCTTCCCTATCCTGGGGTGCTAAAGGAGGTCTCTAGATTTTTATAATAGATTCCTAGAAACCACATCATAAAAAGATTTTATTTCCCCATTGGAAGATTATTATAATAGAAGAATTTTTTCAGACCAAGAATTCAGCTTCAAACAAAGCGCAGATTTGAATAATATGACAAGTTAATAAAGACAAAGGCTATAAATTTCTAGTATCCCTTTAAATCCCTGAGATTGTGACCCTAAAAGGCACATGTTTAATTCACCTATATTTATCACAGTCCTTTACGTCTGTCATTTACTGGTGCTCAAATAACCCCTTGCTAAATGGATCACCTATTTACATGTGGGCCATGAAATTGTTTAAAATTCTTCTTTAAGTATTCAACTGATGAATTACATTCAATAAGGAAGTTTTCATAACCATAGGAACTTGTAAAGAGAGTTATTTCTGTCTATTTAGGGCAAATGACATTGGGAAGGCCTTAGATGGAGAAGATACAGTAGGCTTTTTGAATATGTCTAGAGTATAGACTGAAGAACAAGTCTAGGCCTCTGAATATCAGGGATAAAACATATGACAATTTTTTCCCAACTACTCTACCATAATCTCTTCCAGATGCATAATTAGTTAATATAAGTTACTTTCTCTCTCCAGCCCTCAGTTTATTCATCTGGAAAATAGAGGTAATAAAACTTAACTCATTGGGTAGTTGTAAGGATGGAATTAATCATGTGATAATCCATATAAAGCACTTTAATAGGAATACTTGCAAATAGTACCTGCAAAATAGTAAGCATTCCATAAATAGTGATGACAATTACTAATAATGGAGGGTACTGGAAATTGTTTTATACCAAGTCCCAGAGCATTCTTTAAAATTAATTCTATTACCACTACAGTACTTTAAATGTTTTGTTCTCCTGCTTCTCCATGGCAATAATGATGATAGAATTTCTCTACCCTAGGCATATCAGATGACAGCTAAACCTGCAGTTTTGATATAACACTTTGATATCTTCAGAAAATAATGTTATAAACATGTAACTATTATGGCACAGGTTGACCTCCTAAAGAAATTACTTCAAACAGGTACATATTGACTACCTAAGAAGTAGAAGACTATCCCCCAATGTCATATTTTTTTGAGAATGACATTTGAGAACGTCATATTGCCACAATTGTTATCTTGGCAACAATGACATTTTAATGAACAGGAATGGGAAGGTTCTTTTGGAAGGAAGGTATTTTTGGATTATAAGTGACTATGCGCCCTGGGAAGAACAGCTAATTGATAGAAGGAATGCATCCTCAGCCATAGTAAAAACCATGACCTTGAAATCACAGTCATATGCCCACTGTTTTTCCACTATAAATTCCTTTATTATTTGACGTTTTACAACTAGAATGTGTCCAGTTATTGCTTGTGTAGTTATAAGTACATGTTAAGGAAGCTATAGAAGTATAATTTTATTAATAGATATATTACATATGTATATAGTTTATCATACATATGATAAAAACAAAAAAGTCTGAAATGCTTTATTAACTCTTAACAGCTATTACCTCTGGAAAGCAGGTTTGTGGGTAGAAGAGAACATATATATTCTATTTTCTGTACTCCTATATTGTTTTAACATTGGACATGTATTTTGAATGTCATTTTTTAAGTTTAATAATTAAATGCCCTATTAACACCAGTAGTAAATAGTAGGAAAATGGCTAGTGCAAGATAAAGTAAAGCACATGTGCCAGGACTCTAAGCCATGAGAGTATCCACCCAGGGATCCGTGACCATTCCACAACTGTACAGGTAGGACCAGAGATGGTAGTGTAGAGGAGGAGAAGACAGCCAAAAAGAGAAGAAGGAGCCAAAGACACACATCCTTCAGTTGGCCCTTTGATTATTTCACAACATTTGGTAGAGTTCTATATATTTGAATACAGTCATACATTGGATACATCCTGAGAAGTGCATCGCTAGGCAAATTCATCATTGTATGAGCATCACAGACTTAGACTTACACAAACTTAGATGGTGTAGCCTCCTACACACCTAGGCTATATAGTATAGTCTCTGGCTCCTAGGCTACAAATCTATACATCCCATTACTGTATTGAATGTTGTAGGCAATTATAACATGATGGTAAGTATTTGTGTATCTAAACATACCTAAACGTAGAAAAGGTACAGTAAAAGTATAGTATTATAATCTCATGGGACCACTGTCATAAATGCAGTTCATCTTCGACTGAAACATCATTATATATGGTGCATAACTATACATATATGTGATTGTATTCAACTTAACATCTTCTTGACAGACAATGCAGTCATACATGCATTATGCTATACTTGGTCCTAAATAGCCAATTATATATTTCCTGTGTGCTTTTACCCAGACTCAATCCACATTAACTGTACCCATTGAATATTTTCCCATATCTACAAAATAAGATGGAAAACAAGTTGGAACATTTTGTCTTTATGATATTAACCTCTAGAGGGATATTTAAATGAATGAATGGCTGAAAGGTGGATTTACATTTGTAAAAGAAAATCATTGATGCCTACCTCGTTTTGTGCTGAATTCTTCGGGTTAGCACCTACAAATATAACTTCAGCAACTTCTCCCTGAAAATAAAGATTCATTTAATGACTTCTAATAAAAGGATTTTTGCTATACTCATATTTTGGCACTATTTATTATAAATTTTATGATTTAGGGTGCCTTTATAGATTTCATTGTATTTAATCAAGTAAGTTATCTTCTAAGAATATTAACCCTTGCAACAATAGACATAGGAATGTTTGGCCAATGAGTTTGCTTTTGGTAGACTCAGATACAAGTGAAGATCTGGAGCTGTAGTTCATATTAGTGACAGCACATTAAAATGGCTTCTTCAGGCCTTGATAATTCCTCATAACTCCCTCCCAACACAAATACAGGGAATATTTGAATCAAAATTAGAACAGTGAAAACTTTCCACAGATGACTCATATTTATGCTTACATTTATAGTTAAGCTTATATTTTTATAAGAGATGGAGTGGCAGGATGTGTATTTATCTTCCCACCTGAAACAACTAACTAAAAAACTGGAAAAAATATATATTAAACAATGGATTTTCAAGTGACAATGAAAGATGGTGATATTTGAGTGCCAGCAAACAAACAAGATGAACCCCGTAATTCACCAGCTCAATGTCATCAGAGTTTATGGGCCATGGCAGAAGGAGGAGAATTCAGGCCAAGTCTGGCAGTCTAAGTTGAGGATATGGAGCTGGGAGTCCACAAATGGCAAATAGTCTTGAGTTTATAGCACAGAGCATCGTAGAAGAGCTGCACAGAGGCAGAAACCTGGAGATTTGCAGAAAGCTCTCCTCAAGTTTGCATGCATATAAGGGAACTATTGGAAGCCAGGAAAAGAATGGGCTAACAGAATTACAGAGAACAGTCCCCAGGCTCATAGAGAGTTGTGACAAGATTCCGTTCCCACCAGGCCAGACTGGAAAACCGCATAATTCAAAAGAATTTTACCTCAGTGCGTGAGGGGATGGGGGGTGCTGGGGGAAGTAGGGAAGGGATTTGCTCAAGGTGAAAAGCTGCTCTGGTCTTGCCTAAAATGTTTAGTAATAGGTAATACAATAGGTAAAAGCACTAAAACTAAATGCTAGTTCTTTGAGAACACAAATTACCAAAATTAGAAAGAAAGAGGGTACATCATTGTCAACTCTTCAGAGATTAAAAGGATTAGAGGAGATTATGATGAGCAATGACAACTTTTATGTTACAACAACAAAGTAAACAACTTATATGAAATGAGAAAATTCCCCTAGAATGATATCAATTCCTATAAATTCCTATAAAGACACAAAATCGATGCAAGAAAAAAAACAGGAAATACGAATGGACATATAACAAGTAAAGAAATGGAATTAGTAATAAAAATTTTGCCATAAAGGAAAGCCACGTCCATATAGCCTTGCTAGTCAATCCAATCAAATATTTAAAGAGTAAATAACGCCAATCTTTTAGATACTTTTTCAGAAAGTACAAGAGGAAACATTTCCCAACTCATTCTTTGAAACCATTATTGCCCCGATACCAAAGGCAAAGAAAACATATAAAAAGAAAACTAAAAATATGCCTCATAGACATAAGTAGAAAACTCCTTACAATATGTTAGCAAATCAAATTCAGCAACATCTAAAAAGGGTTATACACCATGACTAAATGGTATGGCATTTATTTAACATCTGAAAACCAATGAATGCAAATACCATATTAAAATAATAAAAGACAAAAACCACATTGTCACCTCAGTAGAAAAAAAATTGCAAAAATCCACCACTTATTTCTGACAAAAACTCTCAATAAGTTAGGCATAAAAGGTAACTTTCTCAACATGAAAAAGAGAATCTACAAAAATCCTAAAGAAAACATCACACTAGATGGTGAAAAACTGAATACTTTTCTACTAAGATTGTAAACAAGAGTGTCCAGTCTCACAACTTCTATTTGACATTGGATTGGATCTTCAGCAAAAAGAAAAAAACTGAAGGTACCACACAACCTGACTTCAAAATATACTACAAAGCTATAGTAATCAACACAGCATGGTACTGGCCTAAAGTAATCAACACACCATTGGTACACATAGACCAATGGAGCCCATAAATAAGCCCGCACATCTATGATAAATTTATTTTTAACAAAGGTGCCAAGAATGCACAGTGGGGAAGTGACAGTCCCTTCCATAAATGGTGTTGGGAAAACTGGATAGCCGCATGCAGACGAATGAAATATAAAAATTGACTCAAAATTGATTAAATATTTAAATATAAGACCTGAAACTATAAAACAACTGAAAGAAAACCTAGAGGAAAAGCTCCATGATGTTGGTGTAGGTAATGTTGTTGTTTTTTTTTTCAAATGTGACTCCTAATGCAAAAGCAACAAAAGCAACAAAAACAAAAACCGATACATGATACTACATCAAACTAAACAGTTTCTGCACAACGAAAAAAATAATAATAATAACAAGGTGAGAAGACAACCTAAGGAATGGGAGAAAACATTTGCAAACTATGCATCCAATAAAGAGTTAATATCTAAAAGATATAAGGTACTCAAACAACTCAATAGCAAGAAAACAAATAACCCAATTTGAAAATAAGAAAAGGACCTGAATAAACATTTCTCCAAAGAAGACATACAAATGATCAACAGAATATTTTAAAAAATGTTTGATATCAGTGATCATCAAAGAAATGCAAATTAAACTACAACGAGATATCACCTCACACCTGTTAGAATGCATAATATTAAAAAAGACAAAAGATAAGTGTTGATAAGAATGTAGAAAAAGGTAACTCTCACACACTGTTCATGAGAACGTGAATTAGTGCAGCCATTATGAAAAGCAGCAAGAGGTTTCTCAAAAAATTAAAAATAGAACTACTGTAAAATATTATACACAATACCATTTCTGGGTCTATATCCAAAGGAAATGAAATCAGTTTGTTGAAAAGATATGTGAATTCCCATGTTTATTGCAGCACTGTTCACAATAGCCAAGATATGAAACAACATAAGTGTCCATCAATGGATGAATGGATAAAGAAAATGTAGTACATATACACAAAGGAATACTATTCAGCCATAAATAAGAATGAGATCCTTACATTTGACACAACATGGATAAACCTGGAGAATAGTAGACTCAGTGAAATAAGCCAGGTACAGAAAGATAAATACCACATGATCTCATTTATATGTAGAACCTTAAAGAGTTAAACTCATAGAAGTAGAGAGTAGAATGTTGGCAAAAGGTTGGTTACCAGGGGCTAGGTGGTTAAGGGGTTGGGGAGGTATTGATCAAGGAATATAAAATTTCATTTAGACAAGGCGAATAAGTTCAAGAGGTCTACTGTACAACTTGATGACTTCAGTTAAAACAATGTATTGTTTTTTAAAAATTGTTAAGAGAGTCTCAAATTTTCTCACAACAAAAAAATAATAAGAATGTGACATAATTCATATGTTAATTAGCTCAATTGAGCCATTCCCCATGTATACATATTTCAAACCACCATCTTGTACACAATAAATATGTATAATTTTATTTATCAATTAGAAAATTAAATAAAATTTTTTAAAAAGCAAAATATTCTATTGAAGGTTCTAGCCAGTCCAATAAGGAAAAATAATTAGATGCATTCAGAAAACAAATATAGAAAGGAATAAATAAGTTTATTTTTATTCACAGATGACATGATACTATATGTAGAAATTCCTAAGGAATCCAGACTCCCCTCTTATTCATTCCCTGCCCCCCCCCCAAAAACAACTGAAACCAATAACTGATTCAGCAAGCTTTCAGGGCACAAGATTGATATAAAATAGTAATGGTACAAATTCTGCTTCATTTCTGTGTTTTTCCTATCCTCGATTTAAGAGACAACTCTCAGTGTCAGTGAATAGTTCCATGATCATTCATTTAGGAAAAGGAATAATTTGGATTTTAGAATTTCAATTTGACACAATTACTAACAAAAAATAAATATTTTCCCATTCTCATTACTTTTGTGGAGATAAGAACAATTGTCAAAATTATCATTGCTAACAGCTGGTCTACAGCGTGATTAGAGGCAAATGGTGACACTAAGTGTCATCCTTCTCCTCATCCCCAAAAACAAGCCTCTAAAGGATTCCAAGGTCTGCGCGTGTGTCTTACCACTCTGTATTCAGGTTTTGCTGGCTGCAGGACATCCCCAAAAGTTCTGCCTATTGGTGCTCTATCCACAATATTAGGAATTAATGGAACCATTAATTGTTGGAAAAATGGAGGTTCTGGGCCTCTGCTCAGGTTGGCTACTGTGTCCTGGAACGGAGAGCATTTGTTAAGGAGTGCATACGTAGAGTCAAAGACCCTTTTCCCAGGCTTCCAGTTCCAGAAATGCCTTCATTAATGGAAGAGTGCACACACACATACTCATACACACTCCAAGAGCTAACAACCTTGAGAAAATAGGAAGGTAGCCTTGCTAAGCATGAGCCTAGAAATTAACAATTTAAACTCTTGTCACTGGGAGAAAGTTTTGGTCATAGGCAACTCTTTTATTCCCCTAGACAACATAAGGACAGTGACCAGAGTACAAGGTTGGAAGCATACTTTCGAATTGTGTGACTTTGTACAGGGGCCTACCATGCAAAAAGGTAATTATAACATGACACCGTAATTATTATTTTAATTTTAAAATAGTATTGAGCCACTCTCATCTGGAGTCAGTACCAAGTTTTTTCCTAGATTCTTGTCTGTTCTAATAAAAGAATATAATAAATATACTATTAATTTAAAATTTAAGATCATCCCATATCCTGACTGGTTTAATCTATGTTGCCCACAAAGTTTACCATTTTTAATAGTGTCATAAAAATACAAATCTCAATTTTCAAATATCCCTTGATATATATTAGGTTGGTACAAAAGTAATTGGCATTTTGCCATTACTTTCAATGAATATTTAATGTTCTTTATTCCTCACATTATAGATTTAATCTCTACAACTGCATATGAGATAGGTTATGTATTACCATTCCCACTTTGCAAATGAGAAAATAGGCTTGGACATATTCAGTGGTTTTTTTCAAGATCACATAGCTAGTTTTAAGGTGCTTGACCAGAAATTTGACTGTAAAACAAATTTCCACCAAATTAATTGCATTTTTCTCCATTGTCACTACAAAATTTGAAGAATCTATTTTCATGAGAAGAACTATAGACCTATGAGCATAGTGACAGTTAAACAGTAGTTACCTCTAGGGATGGGTTATAGGTTTATACTTTTCTGTATAATATGAATGTCCTACAAATAGATTTGGCTTTTATAATAGAAACAAATAAATAAATAAATACAGACAGTTATTCAAAAAAAAGTAACCTAAAACTGAGAGCAAAATTATGATAAAATGAAAATAAATATCAATTGATTAAAATATGTGCAAAGAAATTATATAAAATACTGAAATTTCAAACACACAATCAGTAACTAATAATACAATCATATGAAATGTTCAACATTCGACTGATGCAACCTACAGAGACAACCATTTCATTTATTTCAATTTAATACATCCAAGCTCTTTCATTAAAAGGGCTTTATTTTCTTTGCTACGCCACAATTGTTTCACATTTTTTATTGAGGCTTACATATTATTGTATAAGGCGCTGCTTACTATTTTAAGCCCTTTATCCTGTTTGTTGACTAACCTTCTGACATTACAGTTACAGCTTCATAAACAACTGCATCCAAAGGGAATATTTCCACAAGTGAAGTTCCTTTAAATCAAGTAAACTTGTTCAGTGGTATATATTTTAGGTAGATGCAATGTGTTCATTCCAAGGCACCACCATTTTTACATCAAATCTAAGCTTCCATTGATTTAACAACTCATATAATCTTTTGAACCACCAAGAAAGTAAAAGCTTGCTACTAATTATAATAAGATTCCTCTGATTGGAAAATGCATCCCAATTTCTGAGATATTATTATGTGGAAAATGGGCATCTTAGAATGCTGACCTACTCAACTCTTGGAGCAAATGGGGAGAATCTGGCAAGGATTAGAGAACACAGGTTCAACTCCCAGGTATAGTAAGCTTCCTCACTTATCTTCAAGTCTATGTGCTCCTCTGAAAACTGGGGAGAAATGATATCTCCTTAACTTCACATGATGGTTGTAAAAATAATGAGATAATATATATGAAAGAAGCTGCCACCACGAAAGGATGTTAACTAGATCCAAAATTTGGAAAGAAATTTTATTTTTCTCAGAGATACTACAAAGCTATAAGTTTTGTAAAATATAAAGGTTGTCAAAGAAACTGAACACTCGAAGCTAAGGTTCTCTTTTGCTTCTCTCTGCATTTTCTCACCAGACACAGACACATACAGACATACACACACACACACACACATACACACACCCACACACCCACAAACAATATTTGATTACCGTAGCAATAGCCTTAGCAAGGTTTCTGAAAAGCTGAATGTAAGCAGATAACGTGTGAGGTCCATAAATTGTCGATGCTGCCTCATATCGCTGAGCCTGCAGGAAAGGCAGGGAGAGTTGTATATGGTTCTGCATATTTAAATCCATTTACAGAGGTATAGCATTTTAGGTAAATGTGATACTTGACATCTCACATTATTCAAAACTGGCATAATATTCAAGATTATGTATGACAAAAGAGGATGGGCATTTCCATTTACTGGCCAAGGTAAGCGATTCCCATCAACTACCTATTAAAAGCAGTAGGTTCTCTCTGCTTATGCCATTTAGACTGTCACTCTATGTACTATGAAAGAGGGTGCTAGCTCCTAAGCTTTAGTCTATTGTAAGTACTTGTAATATAAATGCTTTCCCCCAGGGCATATGTCAGAAGAAAAAACAAAATAAAAAGAGTCCTTATAACTTCTGGATAAATAGTTAGAAGGTACTAACTGGAGAAGGACATTTAATCCATCACAGCCATGAAACGGAGCCAAATGCATCTTTTACCTGACCTCCAGGTCTTTGGCTCTTTTACAGGAACTTCAGAGTCATCAAATCTAAAACCAATTTCACCACTCCAGACATATCAGCTTCCTCCACAACATTCTCATCTCAGCGAATGTCATCTTTCCACTCTCCCATGTGAGGATCAGCCTGCAGTTTCCTTAGACTCCTCTCTCCCTCATCCTGTATCCTATCAGTCTCCAAATCTGGTAATTCTATCTCCTTCAAATCTCCTGAGTTCTTTCGTTTTCCTGTCTTACTTTCTCCTAAGGTATAAGTAGATTTTACCTTAGTTCAAACCCTCATCTCTCACCCAGATCTTTTTTTTTTTTTTAATTTTATATTAGGTTCAGGAGTATATGTGTAGGTTTGTTACACTGGTAAATCACATGTCATGAGGGTTGGTTATACAGATTATTTCATCAGCCAGGTAATAAGCAGAGTACCTGACAAGTAGTTTTTTGATCCTCTCCCTCCTCCCAGCCTTCACCCTCAAGTATGCGTGTCCATGTCTTGCCCAGATCGTAACTACACTATGGCTTCTTAACCAGTCCTCTGCCCATATACAAGCCCTTCCAATTCCTTTTCCACACAGCCATCCTATTGACCTTTCTAAATCACAAAATTTTATCAAAGCATTCTCTTGCTTAGAATCCTACTGCAGTTCCCCCAAAGCCTTCCTTACTGAATGAAAGCTCTGTAGCATAGCATGTAAGACTATCCATTAGCTAACCTGTGTCTCCCACTCTGGCCCCCATCTCCTTACCATCAACTTCTCATACTTACTCCATGCTACTCAACTAATTATGCTCCATCAATGTGCCTGCCCTCTGGACCTTTGCTTATATATAGTTTCTTCTATATGAGAAACATTCTTACTTTTTATTTGCCTGACTCTCACTTGTTCTCAAGAACTCATACAGATGTTACATCTTCCTGAACAGTCCCAGTCCTCAAATACCCAGTCTGGGCTGGTGCTCTTTCTCTTTATTTTTATAACACCTTGTGCATGCCTTTCATGAAAATGTTATTGTCTGTTCTCTTTTCTATCTTTGTACTAGACCCCTGACTTCTAGTGATCTTGAGGGAAGGGACAGATTCTTTTCATCATTATGCCCCAGAAAGTGGCTAGCACAGTATCTGTAACAATACATATCTGTTGAATGAACGAAGTAATTAAGAGTAATCCTTGCAGGAGTATATTCCTGTGATATGGACAGGAAACAGGAAAATACTGGCTAGAAAAGAGTGGTTCCCTGGCAAAGGTTCCACCCTTAAGCCTGGAAATCTGTGGCCCTAAACAAGAACAAGCATTTTCGGTTTTGCACCCAAACGTTTCTGTTCTGCGTTTTCATTCACTATGCCCCCCTATCCTGTACCCATAAAAACTCCAAACCCCCAGCTCCACAAGCAGACAAGGAGATGAACAGAAAAGCAGAATGGCAGAATGGCACAGCAGAGAAAAGAGAAGGAGTATCTGAACTCTGAGAGGAGTTTGGCTGGGGATGGCTGGAGAGATCGGCTGCTGGACAGTCAAACTCCAGGGGAAGATCACCTTCCCACTCCATCCCCTTTCCAGCTCCCCATTCATCCCACTGAGAGCTACCTCTACCGCTCAATAAAACCCTGAATTCATCCTTCATGTCCATTTGCAAGCTGATTCTTCCTGGACACTGTACAAGGACCTGGGTACCAAGAGGGCACGGAGCTGTTTAACACTCAGGCCATCTGCAGACAGCAAAGTTAAAAAAAAAAAAGTGCACTGTATGTAACACATGCCCACTTGGGCTTCCAGAGTAGCAGGCACCCAGACCTAGATACTGCTGCAGGGCCCTCATGGAATTTGCTCCTGCTGGCACCCAAAAGCACTTGCCCTGCCTCCTGCACCTGCCTGTCTGCGTGCTCTCCTTCCCATAAAGGGTTTCAGCATGTACAGCTGCCGAAAAGATGAGCCACACCCCTGTCACACATACTGCAAGGGGTTCAGGGAACTCTCCCATCTCACCTGGACCAGGAGACAAGCTAGTAGGGGTTCCTGACCTTGTTTGTGACATGGACTCCTTTGGCAGCATGTTGAGACCTAAGGACCTCCCTCAGAATAATGTTTCTAAAGGTGTAAAATAAAATACATGGAATTGACAAAGGAAACCAATTAGGTTGAAATATGTTTACCAAACTATAATAAACCAATGTTGTATACAGTAATGTATGTGCTTCTTTATTACGCTATTGAATAACAAGTTATATCTGTGGATCTAATAACTACTGTGATTATAAAACAACAATAAGAGTAAAAGATATTTCTAGATCTGCAATCACTATTTGTGATATGAAAATATCTGTGGTTCCTATTGGTGACAGAGGTACTGCTAAAATCATTTATTTTTGTTTCCTATATTTATAATTGACAGAAATGCTTAATAATAGAGGTAGTGAAGAAAGGATGTAATTATTCCTATCCAAGTTTAGCATCGTTAAGACCCCTTTTTCAATGGGAATTCCTAGAAGGCAGGGACCTTCAGGAAAGCCAACAGACGGTAGCAGGGCAGAGGCCACTCTTAGTATGACTGAATATTTACCAAGGGGTAGACTGTATGCCTCTGTATGCACTGCTGTTATATACCAGCAGATATATTATTAACAGAAATTATTAATTATGAGACTCTGGACTGTTTTCATGTTTTACTTAAAAAGTACTTGGGCTGCTTTCTGGACTATTTGTAAACAATGAAATATTACCAGCTACCAGCCTCCCTCAAACTCTCTGGGACTCTGTTTCTTAATATATATCATCAACATAATAATATCCTACTTCCAGATATACTGTAAGGATTACTTTAAATAATATTTGCAAAGTCTTAACTAGTGCACTCAATAAACAGCTACTAGTAGGAGTTTTCTCAGGTGTTACAGAGGCTTAAGGCATCAAATGCATTATGAATAGTGTTAGAAATGCTTTATGCCACAACTCAGGCTTATTACCAGTGCCCCTGACAAAATAATTAATTTCAGGGAAAATGTAAGTCAGTAAAACTAGAATTCTGACCTGGACTTAAGAGGATGTATTTGAAACTCTTAAATATGACCTTTGGTTTATCATTCTCTTATCTGCTATACCTAAAACATAATCATCTCTCAGAAACATGACTGGGACAGTTTACAAAGCAAGTCTGTATTTGACATGACCAGGGTATAATTCATTTAAATTATGAAAACCTTTAGCTTTACCTGGTATTCTTCGTAAGTGGTAATGTAATGTGTATAGACATTGCAGAGACCTGAAATAACAACAGTCATGTTCTGCATCCCATGAGATGCAAATTCCTAGGAGAGAAAAGTAAAATCCAATAAAATTACTCTTCATCTTTAAGTATAATATCATGCTGTTATCCTTAACACACAAGCATTGATTACATTATTAGTTTAAGATATTTTTCTTAATAAAATTTTTCTAACTGCACTAAGTTGGACAAGTCAATGGATCTATAAATACCTTGATGATCACAGTTGCAGATGTAGAAACTTCTTACTACTAAAATAGGGATTTAAAAAATCAACTTGTTAAAAAATCTAATGGGTGGCTGGCTATTAGCTAACCAGAATAGTAATTTCCAGAGCTAAGTAACAAGACATTTTTGACATGTCAATTCAGAACCATTTACAATACTGCCTGAATATAAAGAAAATTTAAAATATGGCACAGATAAAATACAGAATTCCCAAAGTATAATGCATTTTATTTAGACTGTTCACAGGAACTTAAGATATTGTGGTACTCACAGGTTACTTAGTATTTAATATATAAAACCATTATCAAATTTTAAATTATTAATACATAAATACCAATAAAATATTTTTAACCTAATGATAAATCCCTTATGTTTTCTAAGTCTGGTTCTGATACTACCAATATTTCATATTCACCTAAGCCATTAATTTCAAGAAATGTGGAACTCTAGTCATCTTAAAAAAGATTAATTTAGAAGACATAGGATCATAGGGATAGGATATAATTTCCTCTTCATCAAATATGAACATGTAGATATGTTATTTTATTTTTAACTTACTGCTTGAACTGCCTCTCGAAGTCTTCGTCCAGACATGGTCCTGAGTCAAGAAAACAATTATGTGCACATTTTCCTACTCAGACTGTGTGCAGAGTATGCAGAAACACTTTCAGTGAAAGCCAAAAAATTACCCTGGCTCACCACGCAATAGGAAAATATGTAGGAACCCAATGACTATGAAAAGCTAAACTTGAGCTTTTTTTCCTGCCTGTCCTAGCTTCAAAATAAATCCTAAACTGAAAAGAGTCAATTTAACTAAAAGATGGAAACAGAATCAGTGGTTATCACTGGCAAAAGATCATCATTATTTTCCATTCTTGAGTCAACAAAATGATTAGTTGCATTCTATGTTTGTAAAAGCTGAAGCAGGTAGAAAAATACATTACTGTCCCTTCCTACAAAGTATTTGCTGTATCATTCATTCATTTAATTCTTCAGTAAAACACTGAGCATCTACTACACACCAGGCCTACTTCTAGGTGCTAAGGATTCAACAGTATGGAGGTTACATTCTAGGGAGAGGAGAGGGTTAATAAGCAAATAAAAACAGATGATGAGAAAAGCTATAGAGAATAACAAAGCAGGATAAAGAGGAAAGGGAGTGGTGGTGGTCACTGTGGTGATGGTGGTGCAGGTGGTATTGCGGGTGCTGCTGGGTGCTGATGTGGTGGTGGTGGTGGTGGTGGTAGGTGAAGATTATACAGTGCAAACAGCACTGGTATCCCTGTTAGATATTTGAGCAAAGAACTAAAGGGATAAAAATTTAGTCATGAAGATAACTGGAAGAAAAGTGTTCCAGACAGAAGAAACCATAAGTTCAAAGGTCCTGAGACAAAAGTATCTTTGATGAGTCTGGGAAGTGTAATAAGGCCAGCGTGGCTGAATCAGAGGTGAGTAAAGAGGAGAATGTTAAGAAGTCAGATAGGAGAGTTTGCTGAAGAACAGATCATGTAGGAGATTGCAAGTTTGAGGATTTACCTGGAATGAAATGAGAAGCTACTGGAGGGTTTTGAGCAAAGACATGACATTATTTAATTTATACTTCAAAGGGCTTAATCTAGCTGCTGTGTTGAGAAAAAACTGCAGAGGAGTAAAGACAGAATGAAGCAGACTAGATAGCAGGTTATTGCAATAATCTGTGTAAAAGATTGTGGTAACTTAGACCAGGAGGGAAAGTGACAGAAGGTGTTGGGTAGAGTATACGAAATTTGCTGAAGAATTCAAAGAGGAAAAAAATAGAAAAAGAGAATTCAAGGATGACTCCAAGAGATAGGACCTGCTGGAAAGATACAAAATTGCCAGTTACTGAGATAGGAAGACTACATATCAAGCAGGTTTAAAACATTCTTCCATGCTTTTAATACCTAATCTGATTATTTCAAGTACCTGTATTTTAACATGACTGCAAATCTTTCTACTGACATAATAACTCATGGCAACATTTTAATTTGGGGTAAGTTTTTTTTTTTAATTTTCATGTCTGCTTCAGGTTAGTTATCGATAATAAGCACAGAGATAGTTATTCTTCAGAGACCCCAGCAAAAGAGGGTAGGAATATTTGTCACTGTCACCAAACAGTACAGGAGGATACCAAGGGGTCAGTACAGAATGATCTTTCATTATAAGAAGCAATTCCAACAGAAACATACAACAAACAAATTTTTAACTAAGTAATAAAAAGAAGAACTTACGTAAACTCCCCAGGGATAGCAGTTATGGCCAAGGACCCAAGGGTAATAATCTGAACATCAACAATATCTGGATGCCAGGGATGAGGTTTTGATAGCTGAGAACCCAAAACAAGAAAATTATGTTAGGGATAACACTCTCTCCATGGTTAACAGACACATAGTGGTCCCAGAAGTTCCTCTAGTCTCTAATTTATGATATAGTATTAAATATTCCACATGGGCATTTATGTCCTAGTCATAACATGAGAATTTCAAATGCCAAAGTCCCATTAACCTGCACTAATCAATGAAGTTTTTGGTGGATCTGTCATCGTGAAATCACAATGTATAACAGATAACCAAACGTTTTCCTAGAGTACTATTGGTGACTATTCTTATAACCAACAAATAAGGACTTCCATTTGGAATGGTTTAACTTAATTTCTCTTTTTATTATAATCGCCCTTTAAGTTTACAGTTGCCAAGTCTTGTCTTATTTTCCAAGATTTTTCCCAAGAGAATTTATCCTTTTCCATATTCAGAATAATATAGCCTGTCCCTCTATTCCTTCCTTTCCTCTCTTTCTTCTTTCAAGAATTTTAATAGGATATTAGGAACAAAATATTTTTAAAATGCTTCTAACTCAACAATCCAAGTTTTTTTATGCATATTGAAATGACCTTTTGACATTTAGAATGCAAAATATATGTTTCAAAGGAATGTAAAAGAAAATTGCTGTAGTTGATAATGTTGCCTGAACTGTGAGAAAATTTAGACATGAACATGTTTCATTTTAGATGACCTGAAATGTTTTCTTCTGCAGAAAATTCGATGCTGACTCCCTTCTTGGAACCAACATTAATAAATTCTGAATAAGATAAATGTTCATCTTATTCTGCCTTTCCCACTGTCCTAATTATTGTACTTATTAATCATAAGTGCAATAGGTAAATCAGTATACATCATAATCATAACCTTCATTCCTTAGAGTCACAGAACCCATTTTTTAATATTAAAAACTTGATATGGGAATATCTAAATTAAGACCTCCCATCTCAGTAGATATCTACCATTCATTATCTGACAGTTCACAAATTTAAAAATAACAATATGACAATTTCACTATGATAATGAAAATGCATTACTTCTCCAGTGTGAAGAAGGATGGGCTTTGGTTTATGACATTCTTTAGTTTCTTCAGATGGCTTTCCCAGGATCTGGTCCCGAATGGTGTCCCAAAATGGATCCCCTTCTGTTTTCCCTATTAGAAATGTTACGATTAGTATACTTCCTTGAACCAACCCTCTGAAAAAAGTCATTATTTTGACAAATACTGTACAACAATCTTTTAAGGAGTTTCAGAGATTTTATTAAGGTTGCTGTTCAATAATTCTAAACAGTTTGAATAATAGAATAGGAAAAATGTCTTGTGCAGCCTAAGACATGAGCCATTGTTTAATTAGATCTTCAGTGTGGTCAAGAGAATGACAGAGTACATTTTGTCAATATCCTTAAAGTTTTGTTTCTATTACTCCTGCTCATCCATGTTGCAAATAAAAACAGTTTGACATAATTAACTGCAGAATTGTTGACTAAATCACCTTTTTCCTGTTTTGAAAACTAAAAATGACACCTCCAACTCTCAATACCAGTTGTCTGACTTATGGTCCCTGAAATAATTTCTCCTGGATACCCATTTAATTATCTACACACACATACACACACACAAAAAGAAAAAGAAAAAAAAAAACCAAAAGCAGTAAAAAACAAAAACAAACTTCAAATGCATAATCTGAGGAAAAAGGTTTTGTAACTATAAAACCTATGAATTAAGAATCTATATACTCTATCTGAAAAATGTAATAATCATAAATGTCGGTGTAGCATAAACTGAAAACTCACAGAAATGAAGGAAGAAATACACATTTCAGTAACAATACTGAAATTTTCAATACCCCACTCTCAATCATGGATAGAACAACTAGGCAGAAGATCAACAGCAAACTTGAACTAGACCTACCAATCTGTAGAATACTCCACCCAACAACAACAGAATATACATTCTTTTCACATGCACATGGAACATTATCTGGGATAGATCATGTGTTGGCCAAAAGACAAACCTCAATACATTTTCAAAAGTAGAAATAATACAAAATATGTTTTCCAAACACAGTGAAATGAAATTAAAAATAAATAATAGGAAAAAAGGGGGGAGCTCACAAATATGTGGAAATTAAGCAATATGATCTGAAATAGTTAATAATCAAGGAAGAAATCAAAGGAAAATCTGGAAATACTTTATCATGAACGAAAATGAAAACACAACACATTGAAACTTATGGTGGTGACAGCAGTGCTCAGTGAGACATTTATGGTTGTAAATGCCCATATTAAGAAAGAAGAAAGATCTCAAACCAATAACCTAACTTCTACTCGAAGACATTGGAAAAGGAAGGCAAACTAAACCAAATGAAAGAAAAAGAGGAAATAATCAATATTCAAAAGAAAATCAATTAAACACTGAGTAGAAAGACAACAGAAAAATCAATGAAACCAAAAGCTGGTTGTTTGAAAAGGTCAACAAAACTGGCAAAACTTTAGCTAGATTGACCAAGAAAAACAGAGAGAAAATTTAAATTATTAAAATCAGAAATTAGGGAGAACATTACTACTGACTTTAAAGAAATAAACAGAATTATAAAGGAATACTGTAAGTAGTTGTATGCTAACAAATTAGATAACTTAGATAAAATGGAAAAATTTCTAGAAAGATAAACTACCAAAACTGACTCAAGAAGAAATAGGCAATCTAAAAAAAAAAACTATAAAAAGTAAAGAGATTGAATTCATAACATATTTTTAACTACCTACAACAAATGACAGAACTCAGATTGCTTTACTGCTGAATTCCACCAACCAAAGAATTAGTACTAGCTTTTCCAAAACTTTTCCAAAATAATAGAAAAGGGAACACTTCCTGACTCATTCTATGAAGCCAATATTATCCTGATACAAAACCAGACAAAGATATCACAAGAAAAGAAAACTACAGAACATTGTCTCCGATAAATGTGACACAAAAACCTACAACAAAATACTAGCAAACTGAGTACAGCAACATAGAGAAAGAATTGTTATAGAACATGAGTAACTGGGATTTATTCCAGGAATATAAAGTTGGTTAAACAAAAACTGATTAATGCAGTACAACATATTAATATAATTTTTAAATTACATACAGAGAGAAACATTTGCCAAAAATCTAATACCATTTTATGACAATAACACTCAACAAACTAGGAATAGAAGTAAATTTCCTCCACCTGATAAAGGATTAAAAACCGAGAGCTAACATTATACTTAATGATGAATGACTGAATGCTTTTTCCATACTATCAGGAACAACACAGAATGTGTACTCTTTCCACTTTTATTCAACATTGTTCTGAAGGTTCTAGCCAGGCAATTAGGCAAGAAAAAGAAATAAAAGGCATTCAGATTGGAAAAGAGAAATTAAAACTATTAATATTTCTATTTTAAGATCACATGATCTTGTATAGAGAAAATCCTAAATCATCCATTAAAATATTAGAATTAATAAATGAGTTCAGCAAGGTTGTAGGATACAAGGTCAATACAACTATCAGTTGTATTTCTATACATTTTTATGAACAATCCAAAAATGAAATTAAGAAAAAAATTTCCATTTACAATAGCATAGAAAAGAGTGAAATACTAAGAAATAAACTTAACAAAAAAGTACAAAATGTATACTCTTAAAACTACAAAACGTTGTTGAAAAGAGTTAAAGACAATCTAAATGAATGCTAAAACATCAATGTATATGGATCAGATTACATAATATTGTTAAGATGGCAATACTTCCCCAAATTATTCTGTAAATTCAATGACATTCCCATCAGAATCCCAGCTGACTTCTTTGTAAAAAGTTATAAGCTGATTATAAAACTCCTGTGGAACTGCAAGAAACTCAGAAGTCAAAACAATCTTGGAAGAGGAGAACAAGGTAGAAAGACATACTTTCTGATCTGAAGCGAAACAGTAACCAAGAGACGGTTTTACTGGCACAAGGCTAGGCATACAGATCAATGGAATAGAATTGATAATCCAGACAGAAAGCCACGGGTCAACTAATTTTTAACAAGTATGCCAAGATTATAGAATGTGTAAATAATAATCTTTCCAATAAGTGGTGCTGGGATAACTAAATAGCCATATGCAAAAGAATAAAGGCAGGCCATTACCTCCATGATACACAAAGTTTAACTAAAAATGGATCCAAGACTTAATGTAGAGCTAAAACCATCAAAATCTTATAAGAAAATAGGGGTAAATCTTCATGACATTGAATTTGGAAAAAGATTCCTATATATGACACCAAACCATGAGTAACAAAAGAAAATTTAGACTTCATAAAAATTAAGAATATTTATGCTTCAAAGGATACAATCAATAAAGTGAAAAAACCTACAGAATGGAAGAAAAAAAAATTTTTTTTTTGAGACAGAGTCTCACTCTGTCGCCAGGCTGGAGTGCAGTGGCGTGATCTTGGTTCACTGCAACCTCCGCCTCCCAGATTCAAGCGATTCTCCTGTCTCAGCCTCCCGAGTAGCTGGGACTACAGACGTGTACCACCACGTCTGGCTAATTTTGTATTTTTAGTAGACAGGGTTTCACCATGTTGACCAGGATAGTCTCAATCTCCTGACCTTGTGATCTGTCTGCCTTGGCCTCCCAAAGTGCTGGGATTACAGGTGTGAGACACCGCACCTGGCCCGAAAATATTTTTATGTCACACATCTGATAAGGGAATGAATACAGAATACACAAAGAAAACTTTTAACTCAATAATAAAAAGAAAAATGACCCAAATTTTAAAATGAGAAAACTACGTAAATGACATTTCTCCAAGGGAGAAATACATGTGGTTAATATGCACATGAAAAGTTGTTTGACATCATTAATCATTAGGCAAATACAAATCAAAACCACAATGAGATATCCCTCCACACCCACTAGGGTGGCTAGATTCAATAAGTCAGATAATAACAAGTATTGGCAAAGACATTAAAAAGTCAGAAACCTATACACTGCCTGTAGAAATGTAAAATGGTGTAGATATTTCAGAAATAATATGGCAGTTTCTCAGATGATTAAACATAGAGTTATATAATTTAGCAATTTCACTCCTAGATATATACCCAAGACGAAAGATGAAAACAAACACCTACATAAAAATCACATGAATATTTATAGAATATTTATAGATTCATAATAACCCAAACATGGGATAACCCAAATGTTCATCAACTGAGGAAAGCTGAAACAAATCTGGTATGTTGATACAATGGAATATTATTCAACCATAAAAAAGAATGAGGCTGGGAGCAGTGGCTCGCACCTGTAATCCCAGCAGTCTGGGAGGCTGAAGTGGGCAGATCACTTGAGGTCAGGAGTTCCAGACCAGGCTAGCTAAATGGTGAAACCCCATCTCTACTTAAAATACAAAAATTAGCTAAGCGTGGTGGCAGGTGCCTGTAGTCTCAGCTACTTGGGAGGCTGAGGCAGGAGAATTGCTTGAACTTGAGAGGTGGAGGTTGCAGTGAGCTGAGATGGTGCCACTGTACTCCAGCCTGGGTGACAAGAGCAAAATTCTGTTTCAAAAAAAAAAAAAAAAAAGGACTGATGCATGCTGCAATATCAATGAACCTTTGAAATGTGATACTAAGTGAAAGAAGCCAACAAAAAAATGCCACATATTATATGATTCCATTTGTATTAAATGTCCAGAATAGGAAAATATAGAGACAGAAATATTAGTGGTTGCTTAGGTCTGGGGGGGTACATGGTCATGTGTAAGCCTGGAAAACCAGCAGACCTTGAGTTTAAAAATTAATAAATGTATTGGCTACAGTGAAACCTGATCAGAGAACGGAACCCAGAAGCTTCAGAAGCTGAAACCATAGATTTCACTGGACTTCACCTTACCCTGCGTAAAATTGAGGCCTCCAACTCCATCAATAGTGCCAGCCGCAAAACTGTAGCCCAGTGCTGGTTTACATGTTTTTGCCTAAAGGAAAAGTTTTAGAAACATAAAAGGAACAGATAAAGAAACGAAAGTTAAGCTGAAAGTAAATAATGAGACCAAACCAAAACTTCACCCTTGGGGCATAACCAGTGTTCCTCAGCAGCACTTACTGTATGTGTGGAATTGAGCCAGACGGTCACATTTGTCATATCCACCCACTGGTGTGCTGAAGCCAGTGGTCCCGTTACCTCCTGGGAGGCAGAGGCATACAGTTCCTGGAAAACACACAGGCTTACTATTCCAAGCAAAAAGGCTAAAGTGAGTATCTCCAACTGTACTCAGGAAGTACCAATTTGATGCACTTTGGAAATGCATCTCTCAGCAAAGTTTTTGTTTTGCTGGTTGCTTAGAACTGGCCACCAACCACATGGGTCTCTCTACCAAACCCAGGAGTTTCCCAGAAGCTTGAAGTCTCCAAGGCTGTTAACCTGTGTCAGCTCCCCATGAAAATGAAATTATAGTGATACAGGCTGTGGCACAAAATGCCCCAATCTCACTTGAAAGATCACCAAGAAAATTTAAGATTAGGAATAACTGGACCAAATTACTTTCTTTGCTACAGTGAGAGTGTATTTTTGGGTGTTCTTGTAGGGTCTTCCTTTCAGAATACTTGAGTCCTGAAGCAGGTTGGGGCCAAGGGAGGCTTGGAGGATTTCAAGCCCTACTTTGTCTGCAGCAGCTCACCCACCCACAACCCACTCTTTGGTGCTTTTGCTTTTGTGTTTTAATATGGTCAATTGATGCTTTTTCAATCTTATGGGAAACATGAGTCAAAACATGTTTAAAAAACTCTTTGTTTGTATTAATTCATATTATATAACATAGGCAAATCCTGTTTCATCAAATGTTCTCTTGCCTGACACTTAGCTCATTTCCACTCTGTCCCCACCCCAGTTTCAACAGCCACATGAGAGCTCTCATAAGTCATCAGCAAGACCAGCTGCAGCCTGCCGCTCCTAATTAAGTTGTGCCTTACTGAGAAGAGAATGCAGAATGTGGGTCAAATCTCTATGACTCTCAGGCTCAGAATGGGAGCAAAATTTCTGACACTAAAGTGTGTCACGGGTGCACACCCTAAATAGAATCTGTGAATTTAGAATAATCCACTGATAATACCACAGTAATTAAAAAGAAACTGCAGCAATTAGGCTGGCTGTTGCTACCAATTTTGTGTCAGATTGTTCTTTAAAGGTGCTTTTGTCCTTCTTTAGTTGCTCTTAAAAGATTTTAGAACTCTTGGAATAAACTATTTAAACACACACACACACATAGAGCAAAGGTATGAATAAGCTATGAAAAGAAAGAGATTTAATCATATCAAGGGCATCTCAGTTTGAGATTCTTTTTTTTTTTTGTCTTTTTGCCTAGAAATCTGTCTCCATAGGAGCTGAAACAAAATATGGGGACAAAATGGGAAATAAAATTTAGGAGGGGGAGGAAGTCAGAGTAATTCATAGTAATCTCAATGGAGACCAGATTCTCTCTTCATCAAAAAGTTGTGCAAAAAGAAAAGAATAGATGGATGATCTTTGCATATTGAAGAACACCGGGAACTAATTTAAATCCAAGTTTCAAGAACTGGAGTTCTATGGTTCAGCTTTCTCTTGTCACCAGAGGAAAAGTTAAGAGATAGCTAGATGACTTTAGGCAAGCAAAGGCCTTAGAGACTTCCGAGAATTTGAATCAATTTGGTCATATCTAATGCCACAAGAAATTGAAAACCTTATAGTCTATCTTCCTAGTGTCTGAAGCAAGCACTCTGGTTTTCTAGACATTCTAAAATAGAATGTTTTCCTGAGTACTTGGTTTTAAATGTACTTCCTATAAGAAGTCAGACCTGAGCAGGCAGACAGAGGTTCCTGTGTGGATTGCAAAGGCCACCTCCCAAGCTGACCTCTTCCAGACTCCCCAGCACAACCTGAGCATTTGCTGTTTTCTTTACAATATTCAACTTCCTAATGAACCACGTCAATGGATTTTAAAGGACAATTTTAAATGAAGATGAAAGGAGCGAGGCCCATGGCTTACCTTTGCTCTCTGATACATGGCCCGTCCTATAATTTGTGTGCTGTCGAACATATCCTGTCCAGGTCCCTTAGCAATGCACATGTTAGACTGGAACAAAATAAGATAGGATGCATTCTTGGACAAGTAAATAATTATGTTAAGGAATGAAGAATTATAACTGAATCTAAGCAAATAGATTTTTAAAACCACATTCTAGCAGTTCTTTTTAGGTAGTCTTTCAAAGTAAGACTATAAAAACAAAATCATACCTGGAATTAGAACAGTGAATGTCTTTAGAAATTATCTATTCTGAAGCCTTTCTTTTAAAAATAAGGAAATTGAGGCTCAGGTTAAAAGATGTGTTGGTGATTATCCAGGTATCTCATATCTGAGCTAAGACTGGAAGCCAGGTCTTTCTATTGACTGCACATCTTTCTACTTGCTTGTTCTTGCCTCTGATTCTTACTCATGATCACCTTAAACTAAAACTCAGTTAAAATTATATTGGAAGAACTAGCTGGACTTCTGGGGAAAAAAATCAATAAACAAATCTGGCCCTATTTCCTACTTCTTATGTCAGAAAAAATTGAGATTGATCAAGCACTTAAATATTATAAGTGGAATCAAAAAATTACTAAAAGAAAATATGGATAAACATATTTTGTAGTATGAGGGTATGGGCAGACCCTCCTGAAAGTTATCTAGAACAAGCTTAGTTAAACTGGACAGCTTAAACATCTTAAATTTCCATAGGAGGCAAAAGACATAAATAAGACAGAAAGACAACTGATAAACTTTAGGAAAAGTTTGTACTATTTTGACAAAACTAAGACTTTAGTATATTAGGAGCTTTAAAAAGTCGATTAAAAAATATCTTTATTAATACTGGTATTAACCCAACTGGGTAGAGTTGACTGGGATGGAATAAATATCCCAGAAATAGTGTACAAAAAAAGCATTACCACAGGACAAATGTTCTACAAACACAAAGAATAAGAACCCAAAAAATAGCATCTACTACTCATGTCAAAGTTGAAAACAAAGCCAAATCAACATTGTGTGAGTTAAATAAATGATGGTATAGCCTTACTTGTTGTCTTTAAAACATATCACACAGATCTGGATATACTCATTGAAAGGTTTCTAAGACAAATTAAGTGGAAAACTGAAGTTCTGGATACAAAATTCAAAATCCATGAATAAGTCATAAAATGTTGTTTATAAATGCATAGATAAATACATAGGAGGAGGTATGAGAATAGTAACTTCTGGGAAGAACAAAGTATAGAGGAAAGCGAGGCGAAGAGGGACTTTCACTTTTTACTATTCTCTGCACTTCCACATTATTTGAATTTTTTACAGCAATTCTTTTTTGCTTGTAATTTTTTAAAAAGGAAAAGGAATTTTGGTCTTATATGAAAAATCCTATAAACTATAATCCACGAGAAATGTCTCAGGCAGGCAGTTTTTAGTACAAACTTGTGACTTTCGAAATGCCAAAGCAAAATGTTTCAGATTGTCCAAGTTTGGGGAAGGGTAAAGTTAATCTCTGACAGTTACTGAATTGTCTCATCATTCAAAAAACTTAACAGTCACTCAAATGGAAAAATATAATTTCACTCAATTAAAATTTAGTGGGTTTGGACAGGTGTTTTTGAGAAGAGCAGATGCTAGGGAGAACTAGGCCAGTGTATGCTAGAAGACAAGGTATTTGTAAATATTCAAATATAAAATGTATTTGAGATGCAAAAACAAAGATTTCATGTGCCATAATTACCTACCCCACCAATGGGACAAGTGCTATTGGCGTTATCACAGGACTCTCCCGTGTTGATGCAACGTGGGCCGAGAATGTTGGGGGACACATCTCCTAGGTTTGATGAAGCAAAGGCTGCTACAAATGGCCCCTGACAAAAGAAATACCATGTTGCCTTTTATTCTTTCCTATTTCCTGTAATGACTGCCATTAGAAATGCAAACATTAAATCCACTCTGGTAAATTATTCAAAATCATTTGCAGACAATAAAAAGAGGATATAAAATATTCTGTAGGTTGCCAGTTCACTCTGATGATAGTTTCTTTTGCTGTGCAGAAGCTCTTTAGTTTAATTAGATCCCATTTGTCAATTTTGGCTTTTGTTGCCATTGCTTTTGGTGTTTCAGTCATGAAGTCTTTACCCATCCCTATGTCCTAAATGGTATTTGTCTAGGTTTTCTTCTAGGGTTTTTATAGTTTTAAGTCTTACGTTTAAGTCTTTAATCCATCTTGAGTTAATTTTTGTATAAGGTGTAAGGAAGGGGTCCAGTTTCAGTGTTCTGCATATGGCTAGCCAGTTTTTCCAACATCATTTATTAAATAGGGGATCCTTTCCCTATTGCTTGTTTTTGTCAGATTTGTTGAAGATCAGATGGCTGTAGATGTGTGGTGTTATTTCTGAGGCCTCTGTTTCATTCCAATGTTCTATATATCTGTTTTGGTACCAGTACCATGCTGTTTTGGTTACTGTACCCTTGTAGTATAGTTTGAAGTTAGTTCAACCATTGTGGAAAACAGTGTGGTGATTCCTCAAGGATCTAGAATCAGAAACACCATTTGACCCAGCAATCCCATTACTGGGTATATACCCAAAGGATTATAAATCATTCTACTATAAATACACATGCACACATACGTTTATTGCAGCATATTCACAATAACAAAGACCAGGAACCAACCCAAATGCCCATCAATGATTGACTGGATAAAGAAAATGTGGCACATGTATACCATGGAATACTATGCAGCCATAAAAAGGGATGAATTCACGTCCTTTGCAGGGACATGGATGAAGCTGGAAACCATCATTCTCAGCAAACTAACACAAGAACAGAAAACCAAACACCACATGTTCTCACTCATAAGTGGGAGTTGAACAATGAGAATACATGGTCACAGGGAGGGGAACATCACACACCAGGGCCTGTCGGGGGGTGGGAGGCTAGGGAAGGGATAGCATTAGGAGAAATACCTAATGTAGATGATGGGTTGATAGGTGCAGCAAACCACCATAGCACGGGTATACCTGTGTAACCTGCACGTTCTGTACATGTATCCCAGAATTTAAAGTATAATTTAAAAAAAAAATTCAGAAAAAAATATTCTGAGAAAACTTTTTATTCCTGCAAAGGCTCACATTGCAATCGGTGTACATATTATTACTGAAAATATTCGAATTATCAACAAAGCTGTTTCAAGTGGGAGTTTCAAATTATGCCTCAAACAGAAATATTTTAACCAGAAACACTGTGTGCAATAACAAATTATAAAATGCTGACCAGTCAATCTAGTCTATTGTGTTTTATCTGGAGCTCAGAGATCCATTTGCCTTTTAAAAATAAATATGCTATTGGCTTAATCAGGAAAAAGCAAATACAGACTTTCCTGTTGCACAATGAAACTAAACACACCATCTGGACTTGCCCTCGGTGTATCTTTTCTCTCTCTCTTCAACCTAATTAGAGCCATGCAAGGTCTCTGCCTCAACCCAACCACTCTATTATTCTACCTTAAATGCCCCGAATTTTCTTCGGGAAAGAGATAACTAAGTATTAGAGATATAAATCTTTTTTGATACTAAAAAGATAATTTATTTCATAGTGCCTAGCACTCAGGCAGTGATCATAAATAGAAAAATCTCTTCTTTTCTCTAAAATGCAGGCTAAAGTGAGAAAATAGAGTGAGTTTTGCCAACAAAGGAGCTTGCTTTGGTTTGGATGTGGTTTATTCCTGCCAAAACTCATGCTGAAATTTGATCTCCAATGTGGCATTGTTGAGAGCTGTAGTCTAGTAGGAAGAGACTGATCCCTCATGAATAGAATAATGCCCTCCCACAGGGTGAATGGCATCTCACTCTCTAGGGAATGGATTGCAGTAGTTCCTGCAGGAGCAGGTTGCTAAAAAACAGCCTGGCTTCCTCAGTGTTTCCTCTCTTGCTTCCTCTTTCACTTATGATCTCTTTGCAAATCCTAGTTCCTCTTTTTTTCTTTTTTCTTTTTTCTTTCTTTTTATCTTTTTTTTTTTTTTTTTTGGAGACAGAGTCTCACACTGTACCCCAGGCTGGAGTGCAATGGCACGATCTTGGCTCACTGCAACCTCTGCCTCCCAGGTTCAAGCAATTCTCCTGTCTCAGCCTCCCAAGTAGCTGGGGCTATAGGCACACACCACTATTCCTGGCTAATGTTTTGTATTTTTAGCAGTGATGGTGTTTCACCATGTTGGCCAGGCTCGTCTTAAACTCCTGACCTCATGAATCACCTGCCTCGGCCTCCCAAAGTACTGGGATTACAGGTGTGACCCACTGCATTCGGCCTCCTCTTCTGTTTTCTATCATTATTTATGTACAATATTCTGAGAAAATTTTTTATTTTATTGGTAATAGCATGAGGCCCTCACCAGATGCAGTTGTTCAGTCTTGAACTTTTCAACCAGCAGAATCATGAGCCAAAAAAACCTCTTTTCTTTATAAATTATCCAGTCTCAGTTATTCTGCTAACACAAAACAAAGACAGAGCTAAATGATCAGGCTCTTTGGAAGGCCGAGGCGGGCGGATCACAAGGTCAGGAGATCGAGACCACGGTGAAACCCCGTCTCTACTAAAAATACAAAAAATTAGCCGGGCGCGGTTGTGGGCGCCTGTAGTCCCAGCTACTCGGGAGGCTGAGGCAGGAGAATGGCGTGAACCCGGGAGGCGGAGCTTGCAGTGAGCCGAGATCGCGCCACTGCACTCCAGCCTGGGCGACAGAGCGAGACTCCGTCTCAAAAAAAAAAAAAAAAAAAAAAAAAAAAAGGATCAGGCTGAATGTTAATGGAAGCTAATATCTTTGTAAGGGAATATTAATTGTAGGTAAGGGCCTGGGACTCTTATCCCATTATATAGTCTTCCGAATTTGGGCCTGGCACAGTGGCTCCTGCCTGTAATATAACACTTTGGGAGGTCGAGGCGGGCAGATCATTTGAGGTTAGGAGTTCAAGACCTGCCTGACCCACATGGAGAAACCCTGTCTCTACTAAAAATACAAAAATTAGCTAGGCGTAGGGGTTTGCACCTGTAATTTCAGCTACTCAGGAGACTGAGGCACAAGAGTTGCTTGAACCCGGAAGGCAGAGGTTGCAGTGAGCTGAGATCGTGCCACTGCACTCCAACCTGGGTGATAGAGTGAAACTCTGTCTCAAAAAAAATAAAAATAAAAATAAAATGGTGCTTAATCCCTGTATAGCTCTAAAAATGAAAGTAAGTAAATATCAACAGTTTGTCATATTTTCAGTTTAATCAAAAACTACTGTTATTACAAAAATCTTGAACTTTGCCCTTCCTTATTCAACTAATAACTTTATGAAGCACTTAATACAAGGACTATGTAACACAAAAAGCAAATGGATTAGTACTCATTTTTTATTTTTCTTTCCACGTTAGGGAGGATGGTAAATGCTCTCTATCCAAGCATATCAATATGTGAGATTGATGATGACACTTTATTCTGGAGATTTGAATCACCTATTCTGAACGCAGCATGAATGATGATACTCAGTGAATCCGGATGAAACTTTCAACGATATAAATTCTCACCTGCCCAGGTAGATATCCTTTGTTCTTCTCTTGCTCAAGCAGGTAAGATGCATAGCCCACATTGTCACTGTTTACAAGATGGTTACTGTTGTTCATGCTGACTGGGTGGATGGCAAACCAGCTGTAAAGGAGCAAGAAGCTCTAAGTTAATCAGGAGAACCAGAGAACTGAGGCCAAGAACTACGACTGGAAGCTTAAGTTTTCTCCAGCAGGAAAAAATATTTTTAAATGATAGACATTCTACATCTAGACTCTTTCATTGTTCATGGGCTTAAAAATACAATGCAAAAAAAAAAATGTACTCAAGAAGTCTGATCATTTTCTTAAATTAAAAATACAGAACTCCACTTTCATGACTATTTCATCGTTGGCATCATCATTAGACTGGTCAGTTACCAGATGGCATACCTAAAAAACTGTATGTACACGGACTTTGTCCTTCAAGATAGGCACACAGATAGTAATTATTTAAATCTATCTAATCCGACATTTACTAAGGGTTACCTGTATGCCAAGCACTGAATAAACTGTGGTTTACTTTCAGAATCTCACCAAAGACATAGATGTGAACAAATGGCTTTAACACAGTGTGACAAACGTTGCAAAGAAACAGGCATAAAGTGTTTAGGGACCACAGATGACTAACAATTAATTCCTGAGGGCATTACAGGGAGAGGAAACAGCAGGGTAAATGCACAGAGGCGTGAAAGAGGATGTGATGCATAATTCAGTATATCCTTATGCCTAGTAATACCTTGTTTAAGCATAAAGCTATACAGTTTACAAACTAATTTCACATCTGTTACCTTATTTGAACTTCACAACAACTCTGAGAGACAGGCTGTTTTACCTCTACTCTGCATAGGTGACCCAGAGAAGCAAAATAATGGTCCACTGCTCATAGAGGCCCAGGACTCAAGTCTGGGTCTTGTGACACTGTGTCCAGTGGTCTTTGTAGGCTCAAACCCTCACACAGGTGAAAAGGATATTTACAGAGTGGAAGGCAGTAAAGCAGATTAACTGGAACGCTCAAGAAAAGAGAGATGCCAGTTCATAAAGTGTCAGGTTAACTTAGAATTTTTTTAAAAAATTGTTGATTCAATTCTTCGTTGAAAAATCTTTAAATGTTTTCGCTTACATGCCTACCTAAGCAATGTAATGCACAAAACTAAGCATCTACTTAATGGCTAGAAAGGGTTTAGGACTTTAAGATCATCTTTCAAGCATCAGTTCTTATTGCCTATCAGAAGCAGACGTAGGGCTGAGGTGGCCTGCTCAAAGCCCACTGGCGCTGCTAGGCAGGCAACACAAATGAGTCATACTAGTTGGTACAATAGGGACTGGTGTAGACTGTAGAAAACTTGCAGTGTCTAAAGTTCACAGCCTTTACTCAGCTCCAGCCAAGTATTGCCTTATGGGAGTATAAACCAGTGCTGCCAGCTCTTCTCATTTATTCAAAAGGAGCCACAAATCCATGTTTTCATATTTATTTATCAACTTTAAAATTCTTCAGGAAGTAAATGGCATGGCAACAAAGGACGAGAACTGCTATACATTAAGAGACTTAAGACATGTAGCCAACAAATGTAGTTTGTGGTCTGATTCAAACAAAATAACTATTTGAAACAACAAAAAAAGACTTTTTGGTATAATCAGGGAAGACCGAACACAGATTGGGTGTCAGATCATATTAAGAAATTAATTTTAACTTTGTTGGTTGTAATAAATGATTGGGGTTACTTATTTTTTAAAGTCTTTATCTGACGGAGATACACACTGAAATATTTCTGAGTGAAATATATCTAAAGACACATGCACACGTATGTTCGTTGCAGCACAATTCACAATAGCAAGACATGAAATCAACCTAAATGCCCATCAATGATAGGCCAGATAAAGGAAATATGGTATGTATACACCGTGGAATACTTAGCAGCCATCAAAAGAACAAGATTATGTCCTTTGCAGGAACATAGATGGAGCTCGAGGCCATTATCCTTAGCAAACAAACACAGGAACAGAAAACCAAATACCACATGTTCTCACTTATAGGTGGGAACTGAATGATGAGAACACATGGACCAACAGACACTGGGGCCTATTGGAGAGTGAGGGGTAGAAGAGGGGAGAAGATCAGGAAAAATAACTAATGGATACTAGGCTTAATAACTGGGTGATGGAATAATCTGTACAACGAAGACCCATGACACACATTTACCTATGTAACCAGCCTGTAAATGTACCCCTGAACTTAAAATGTAAATTTTTAAAAAAGAAGTGTATGATGTCCTGGTATTTGCTTTCAAATACTCTAGCCAAAAAAAAAAAGAAGGGGGATTGGGGGAGAGGAAGGATAAAACAGAATGACAGAGTCCTGCTAATTATTGAAGCTGGGCAATAAGTTACATGGAGATTCATCACATTAATTACCGTAATTAGTATGTATTCAAAAATTTCTATATAGTTTCCTTTTTCATGTTGGCATACATTTTGAATTTTTCAAAACACAATGTCAAGCCAAATCACCAATGAGTGAGCTGAATTTAGTTCCTGAGATGGCTATTTGCCCCTGTGCTAAGGAATAAACATTTATTAGTCTGAAGATATTCTAGAGTTATCCCCTCGCAGTTACTTGCAAGGTGTTTACATTTAGGAATATTCTTCTATTAGGTTTGTATGTGTGGTTTGTCTCTTTCTCTTAGAACTCAAGTATCAGGAAATTCTAATCAACTAGTGTTTTCCAGTTACATGGATTTTGCTTTACTGGAGTTTCTTTAGTTTGGAAGAAAATGCAGTGGTGGCATTTTGGCTTCCCAATCAAAACATTTCCATCGGATACCATCATGCTGAGGTCAGCCAGCTTCAGCCAACACTGAATATTTCCATTACAATCAAAGAAAAACTATAGAAAAATTCTGCTGACAATGATTATTATTTAGCTCTTATTAGACAAAGGACTTTATGTACAAGATCTCATTCTATTCTCACAGGAACCCTTTGAGTCAAGTACTATCATTATCTTCATTCTACAACTAAGAAAACTAAGTCCCAGCGTGGTAACACTGGGACTGGTAACATTGTGACCACCTGACCTAGGTCACACAGTGGTAAGTCAAGAAGCAGGGCAATGAATTCAGATTATATGTGTGTGTGTGTGTGTGTGTGTGTGTGTGTGTGTAGATAGATACATAGAAAGATAGATAGATAGATAGATAGATAGATAGATAGATAGATAGATAGCTAGCTATAGAGATATATGCTCTTATCCACTGTGGAATCCTGGCTCTGTCCCTTCTCTTCATTCACTTGCTCATTCACTACACGTTTAGTTAACTTTGACTCTGTGCCAGCCACTAGGAACATAAAGATGAATGAGGCACCATCTTGGCCTTGAGAAATGCTTCACAAAAGACGTGGCACTTGAGGTGGATCTTAAAAGATGAGGAAGAGCTAGGCAAAGGAATCACTAGAGAAGAAGTATTCCTAGCAGAGGAAATAACATCTGCAAAGGCATGGAGATGTGAAGGAGGGCCCTGTGTTCAGAGAATGGGTAGTTAGGGTGGCCAGAGCAGAATGGACATGGACAAGGAAAGATGGCAGTTGTATCATTCATTCAATCAACATGAATTTATTGGGAACCATGTTGATAGGCATTGTGTGAAGGATTGTAAAGAGGAGTCAGATGCATTTCCTACCATCAAGGACCTTACACAATTGGCCACAATGGTATCTGTGGAGAAAGCATGTGCTGAGAATTTCAATCTACTAGTTAGATATAGACTTGATTTCTTCTTCTTCTTTTGACAAAGCATCTCACTCTGTTGCCCAGGCTGGGGTGCAGTGGTGCAATTGTGGCTCACTTCAGCCTTGACCTTCCAGACTCAAGTGGTCCTCCCACCTCAACCTCCCAAGTAGCCGGCACTACAGATGTTCACCACTATGCCTAGGTAATTCTTTTTATTTTTTTGTAGAGATGGGGGTCTTACTATGTTGCCCAGGCTGATCTCCAACTCCAGAGCTCAAGCGATCCTCCTGCCTCACCTTCCTAAAGTGCTGGTTTTACAGGGATGAGCCACCACACCTGGCTTAATTTCTTCTTTATTCCATTTATTTTAAGCCTTAGAAAATAAATTGAACTTTTTCTCTAGAAAATTAAAATAAGTGTTCAGAAAAAAGTTATTTAAATTGAAGGAAAGGAAGATGTCATATTTTTACTCCTTTGTCCTTTGAAATGTTCACTATTAAAATAGCAAACTTGTCACAGGAACCAAAGTACTATAGTTATGGATGAATATTTATAAAGATATGCGGAAAGGTGATCATTTTAATTTTAAAACATAGTACTTATATTTTATTTTATCTGGCCAAAAAATATTCTTCAAAGCAAAGTTCAAAAGAAAGGAAGAAAGCTTTAGTTTCAGAAGTTAAGAATTCAGACATAAAAGGATGAATACATCTGTGATAGTAAGCATTTTTAAATAATGCTTATGTCACAGCTAAATGTAAAATAGGAAGTAAGGTGCTACTTGAATCAGCATGATGTAATTAAAAGTACTGCAGAAAGTCAAGAGATTGGGGACCTTATCCTAGTTTGTAGCAAAGTTAGTCAAAATTTCTGGACTAAAATTTAAAAATTATTGAGACTGAAAAATAATAGATTTCAACTATGCTTTATGAATCAGTAAACAACATATTAATATAAAACACTACAATTTTTTTTCGTTCTGTGTAAAGGAGGTATTTGGAGAAAAGGATCTCTAGTGACTATTAATTCAGACATTGTATGTGCCCTACTCTGAAACAAAGAGAAAAGCAGGTTCCATACACTCAGACCCGGGCTTCCCTGTCCAGTGTGCAAGTTGTGTCCTGTACAAAGAACACTGGTGAAGCGGGTAAGGGGTTAAAGCCAGCCTCTGTGCAGCTCACTGAGCCAGGCACTTCAGCCAGCCCAGAAAAGAGGATGCATTTGTGTAACTTAGACAAAGGTTCTATGTGCTAGCATGGCCCTCCCCGACCTAAACGTCCACAAATAGGGAAATAGAATACTGTGGACCCATTCAAAGGTACTGTTCAGAAGATTCATAGCAACATGGGAGCTCTTCAGTAAATAAAATATAGGAG